TGGCTTGTGCCCACGAACTGCTGCTTTCTCTGCCTTAGCAAAGAATTTAATCATGTTTTCTAAAATCTCTCTACTAAGTAAGATGAGCTGGGTCCCAGTCGTTGTAGAATTTACTGTCCTCTAACGGTGGTAAAGGACAGCTCAGAGAGGCAGAGTAAAATAAAAATGGGGTGTTTCATTCTGACCCTGTGCACGTTCGTGTGTTTTCTGTGCAGTCTAGGCCCCACCAACCGAATTCATCCAGTAAAGCTCCACTTTTATTCTTACACCTTGGGCTTCATTTTTAGGCAGGCCTTCTGAATAAAAAAGGTGGGGGGAATGGTTGTGAATCTCTGTTCTGATTCTTTAATGCCTGCAGGAAATGTTTACTGCTTATTATTAACTGCAGCGTAATCCCCATTAGGTTTACCATTACCTTTAATTTATATAGGGAGCTTAAATAAGTTGTCCAAGGTCACAGAGCTGGTGAAGGGCAGAGCCGAGTTGACCCAGGTTATTTAGAGCCCCAGCACCACCCATCTCCGACTGTCACACCTCCCTGTACCTCCTAACTGAACAGTTACCCTCCCCAGTCCACACTACTGAAGCTATACAAGATCATCTGTCTAGAGCTGTGCTTTAAACTGAGGGGTAAGCCCATTAGTGGATTAAAATTAGTGGGTTACAGAAACCTAGAAAATTTTGCTGTATTAAGTATTATTTCCCGATACTGTTGTTTCAGTTATGTGATAGGAGTTGGCATGTTCCATCAGAGCTGTCTGACTTGCTTGTCATGAAGTCTCAGGCCATCTACTCTAGCCCTTTACTTTCCAGCAGAGTTGTCTTCTTGCTGGCATTTGAAAAAGATCCCAAGTGCAATGTTATGGAAGGATAAGGTAAAGGAGTTGACTCTAAGGGGTTGATGACAGATAATGGCCTTAACACACAAAAGGCATTCATATTTTAGTAAAAACAGCCTTTCCTCAATGGATGAATTTCAGGCAAGAGATCATTTGTTTGGGGCATCCTTTTCCACAACTCCACAATGTCTTTTCCTAAACAGGTTCTTTGGGGAAAGGTACTGTCACATAGTAAGAAACTTGGCAAGATGGAGGGCATGGATCTATCTTAGAGATGCTAATGAAAATTAAGAGCCCTCTAACTCAGAAAAACCCACACGCATGAGCCTGCCCCCACACAGTATTTCACATATAATTTAGAGGGTTCAGGAACCCTGAAGACCATGCTCATTTCCAAATAGCCAGGTGTGGTCTGTTGTCATTTGTGTAGTATGATGCGTTCACGTGTGGAAATGCCTTTGAGATGACACTTGTCCTGAATCTTGAAGTTACAAAGGTAACTCAAAATAAGTTGAAACCTGTCACTGGGTATGTTCACTGACACCAGGGTCATGACAGAAAAGGATGAAACTTTATACATCCTTCACATGCTTTAAAGATCTACAACATCTCATGCCTCAGAGCCATTTCAGATGAAAATCTTTAAGACCTAAATGATAGAATATTTTATAACTTTTTATTAACAAGTTCATAATAGAAAAACTAGGAGATAGAAGCAATCATTAAGAAAAAAGTTTTAATGACCTGCAATTCTACCACCAGAGATAATGTTAATATTTTGGTATATATCCTTCCAGATGTTTCTCTATGTGTACTTTTTTCCCTGTAAAAAATATTTCGGAATCGTACAATACATTCTAAACTTGCTTTTTCCTTTACTGTGCTATATTCATTCACTATATATCTGAGTGCCTAATATGTTCCAGGTACTGGGGGACTGAGTAGTAAAGCAGAAAGGCAAGGTGCTCGCCTTCATGATGCTCTCCTTTAAATGGGACAAGCCACCCTTTAGAACAAGAAAACACCAAACATGAACCATGGTGAAAACGAAAATCGTATGGGCAATTTTAGATGAAGCACTGGAGCTGGGTGAAGCATGATAGAGAGTCACTAAGGTGACATTCAAGTTCTTGAGATTCAAAGGCCTGAGCACAGGCTGCCCAGGAGCAGTGAGTGTCCGCCACTGAGGCTGAAGTAAAGTGAATGATGGGGGCAGGGGGAGATGTGGAATTCAGTGGTGAGTATGGGAGGGTTAGGGATCAAGGCATGATGGGCCTTGCAGACACAAGTAAAGAATCTGGATGTGGGACTACTGGAAGGTGTTCAGCAAATCTGGTTTTAAAGATCACTAAGGCTAGTGTGTGGAGAAGAGATCGTACAAAGGGAAGAGCTGCAGAGGAAACCAGTCAGGAAGCTATCGTAGAAGACCGCAATGAAGTGGCTCAGACCACACAGGGAATCAAGTGGATCTATTTGGGGTAGGAGGAAACAACAGGACTGGGTAACTGAGCGGCCGGGCAGGGGTGGGGAAAGAGGAATCAAGGTTACACTCAGGTTTTAAACTTAAGCAGTTGGGTGGATGGTACTATTTACTGATGCTGGGGAAATAATAGGTTTGAGGGGGAAAAATCAAGATTTCTATTTTTGAGATGTCTATCGAACAGCCAGGTGGAGGTATCTAGTAGGCAATGGCTGAGTCTAGAGTTTAGTAGTCAGGTCTAAGTGGATAAAAGATTTTGGAGTCACGAGTCTCATTCCACATGGTTTTCCTGAAGGCAAAGGGTTTTTGTCTAGGAGTACATTTAGAAATGTGTAAAGTGAAGTATAAGATTTATTTAAAAGTCCCCTATCATCAGTGTACATACAGCTCAATGAATTTTCAAATGGCACACCCTGTCACCAATACCAAGATTAAGAAACAGAACATTATGCTTGCACCAGAAACTCACTCCTGCTCCCCTCTAATCACAACACCCTACTTCCACTCAAAAGGATAGTCACCAGGGGGGAACGATATAGCTCAGTGGTAGAGCGCATGCTTCACATGCAAGAGATCCTGGGTTCAATCCCCAGCACCTCCATGAAAAATAAGTAAACAAACCTAAATGACCCCCATAAAAGGATCATCACCAGCCTGACTTCTAACAGTGAGATTTAGTTTGCCAGATTCCATTTATTATATAATGGAATCATATGCAATGTATTATTTTGCATCTGTTTTCTTTCATGTTATATTAGTGATACTCATCCGCAATGTTCATTCATGTGCATTGTATGAATATACACATTTTATTTATCCATTCTATTATTGATGGGAGTTTGGGTAGTTTCCACTATTTATCTATTACAAACAGTGCTGTTATGAATATACAAATTCTAGTACAGGTTTTTTTATAGGATATGTATGTGTTTTTGTTGGGTATATATAAGTAAGGACTAGAATTTCTTAGTCATAAGATACACTTGGTATTCAATGGCAACTTTCCAAAGTGACTGACCCAATTTATACTTCCAGCAGTATGAATGCCAGGTGCTTCATGTGCTTGGAGCACAATGACTGTTTTGTTCCAGTGCCTAGAACAGTGCCTTAACTTACACACCTACCTATATATATAGTAGGCACAGTAAGTGAGCAATAAGTATCTCTTGAAAAAACAAATCTGAACATAGATGGCATTTTAAGCTGTGGGCTCGAATAAGATCATATTTGAAGAAACATGATTAGATAAGAGGGCTGATGAACAAGCCCTGGAGAACTGGCAGAAGAGGAGCAAGTAAATGAGGAAGAAAATAGGAGCACACAGAGTTCCGTAAACCAAGAAAAACGTGGTTACAAGGAAAGGGCAGTCAACTGCTCTGGATGCTGCCAAGAGATCAAAAGATGAGGGCAGAGCTTGGGAAAGGAGAAGAGTCAGGAATTCTGTTTTCGGTCATTCTAAGTCTGAAGGGGACATTACATCATTCAATTGGAGACCTCAAATGGGCAATAGGCAATGGGATATAGGTGTCTGAAGTTTAGAACCTGGCGTTTGTGAGCATAAATATCTTTGTGAAGGAGAGTAATTGGAGAAGAGACAGGGTCCCGGCCTTAAGGTACTTCCACATAGAAGCTGAACACAAACATCCGCAGAACTGACTATGCAGTGTCAAGCAGCTGATAAGATAGGAGAGAAACCTGGATGGTATCTGGTCACTGATGTATGCCAACATTAATTGTGTTAAATGTTGCTGAGAGTTTCAACAAAATGAGAACAGAAGAATGATCTCTGGATTTAACAACTACCAATTAATAACTACCCCAGTCAATAAATATTCTTCTGTAACATCAGTTTGAATGACTGCATAGAATCCCATTGTATAGCTGTACCAACCAATCTCATGGTTGAAATCTTAGATTCTTCCCACCCAAACCTTTAGAATCGTAATGTTGCCTTGAGCATGCTCTTATGAGATGGAATTGCTGGATCACAAAAATATGCACATTCTAAAGGCTTTTTACACAGCTACCAAACTACTCTCTAGAAAGGCTTTATTAAAATCTACTTCCAACCCAAATACAGTAATTGTTAAAAAAACAAAAAAGCTGTACATTTTGATAGGTGATATGTGGTATCATATATTTACATTTTTATTATTAATGAAGTCATAAGTTTACTGATATTAGTTATTTATGAATAGCCTGTCCATATCTCTTGCCCCGAATGAGAGCTGTTAACTGGGCAAAATGGTGAAATATCTACAAGATTGAAATGCTGGTTTGGTGAAGTGAATAAAGCAGATAAACAGGTTGGAATCACAACGTGTGAATGCATTGTGACTTTGGCCAAGTAACTTCTCAGGTCCTATGTTCTTGTCTGTGAAATAGAGATCAGGTCTACCTTGAAGTGTTACGAACAATGAATACCGTACATAAATGCTGGAAATTATGACAATTATTATGATGGTTATTCTGCAGAAGTAACTGCACCATGGCACGGGAATCTAAAAAACGCAGAATGTTAGTCTGAAGAAACTAAGGCTATTTCTGGCATTTCCATCAACTCTATTCCTGCCCCTCCCCCGGATGTTGGCGGTGTCACCATGGCAACGAGCACGCGCTACCCAAGGCTCAATTCTCTAGCGGTTACGGACCTCGACCGCCTCACTCTCCGCAAACCTGCGACTCCACGGCGCACGCTACCCACTCGGCCTCGGAGCCATCTCCCTGGACCCCAGGGCAAGGAGCCGAGGGGCAGCATGGCCAAGGCGGCAGCTTCTTCGCCGCTGGAAGATTTGGACCTGAGCGGAGAGGAGGTCCAGCGGCTCACCTCCGCCTTCCAGGACCCGGAGTTCCGGCGAATGTTCTCCCAATACGCCGAGGAGCTCACAGACCCCGAGAACCGGCGGCGCTACGAGGAGGAAATCACGGCGCTGGAGCGTGAGCGCGGAGTGGAGGTGCGGTTCGTGCACCCGGAGCCGGGCCACGTTTTGCGCACAAGCCTGGACGGGACCCAGCGCTGCTTCGTGAACGTGTGCGGTAACGCGCTGGTGGGCGCGCCCAGC